GCCTCTTTCGGGCGGGGTGATGGGGTCTGTACAACGGAGTGGAGGGGGGCGGGCAGCTCTCTCACCTAGCATGTGTACCTGGAGGGCCACAAAGCGCGCCTCCCAGTGGTGAGAGCGCGGGGAGGGCTGGGCAGGCTGCGGCCCCCCGCTTTTGGCCTGCAGTGCCGCCGCGTCCGAGTTCAGCAGCTTGAAGTAGTTCTCCAACACAGCGCCAATCTCCACCTGCCGCTGGTCGGAGCTGCTGGCGAGCAGCCGGTGAACCACCTCACGCAGACAGCCAAGGGTCAGCAGGGCCCGGCGGTCAGGGGCCTCAGAGTCCCAGGCGTCGCCGTCGGTGGCCTCGGAGTCCGCCAACACGCGCAGCAGCACCTCCATCGTGGCAGGTGAGATGGCCAGGAGCGCGTTCCGCTGCGGGGGCGGGGCCAGGCACGTCAGGAAATGCTTGCCACCCATCTGAACATGGCCGCCCTGTGAAGGACCCCTCATGGCTATGAGCTCACCTGTCCCCCTGCCACAATGGCCCCGAACAGGTGCAGCAAACAGCACTTCAGACTGTTCTTCAGATGCTCACTTTCCTGGAAGCACTCTGGGGGGGGGGGGGACAGGCGTCATGTTAAACATACTCACCCAGCAGGGGGGGGTCGACATGAGCAGCCATTACACCCGATTCCCTTCCGCACTAAGGTGCCCTAAACAAATGTGGCACAGTGTCTCCTCTCCATAGATACGCTGAGGGAACCTCACGAAACCTTTATATAATCACGCCCCCTGCTGGTGGCTGTAGCCTTTGTTATTCCTCAGCCTTGTGCAGCTTGCTGTTGGAATGAAAGGCCGGTCACACTCTCCATACGGTGAAGGGAGAGGGAGCGGCTGGCGCTGGGCGGCATATCGAACTTTTACAGCATATTGATACATTTTCAAACCAGATACAGGACAAGAAAATATCACTTATGTTGACATATTTTTTGTACATTAAACCAGGAGGAGCGAAGATTCTCAGAGACCTATAATATATTTTCTTGGCTGTAAACAAAGCGAAGGCTTCGGTTGTGAGGTTGCACGGAATCCCAGAATTCACAGCTAAAATCAAACCGTTCATTTAGTGTCTCACGGAAAATTTATGGGGGGGTCGGGGGGGCAAGGAAGCATTTCATTTGGTGCGTTTTGTTTAAAAACACGGTCAAATGGCACGCATATTAAAAATGTTGTGATTTTCAATATTCATTTTAATTTTACTTTAGACTATTGCCTTAAAACGAGGATCTTTCCAGTTAATAAGCGGTCAGGCGTCTGTTCAGATCCATTTCCCAAAAAGGTTATAGAAACATTCACCTTCTGTTTTGAGAGCAATGTCATAAAATGAGCTGCTTTATTTGACCCATGCAACATAAGATCATTTATTTTCCCTTCATTTTGAGACGTCTGGAATAAGGAGATTGTCTATACTGAACAGCTGTAGCAGTTCATCTGTGGAGAGCAGGAAGCCCTGTGCTGGCATTTCTCACCTAACACCATGATCTGGTTATCTGTGTTTTTGTCACGATTTTATCTTCTCTTATGCTCCTTTTTATATTTTTGATTTATTTATTTAATGTACAGCACTTTGGCCAATAAATGTTGTTTTAAAATGTGCTTTATAAATAAATTTGACTTTGACAGCTGAACATTTATCCACCTCACAGACACACAAGTACGACCGAAATCACCGGGATCCAGATGACCCCCCGTGAGATCCATAGGGATGGACCCCCCCTCCCCCACTCTCTCTCTACACAGTGTTATAGTATTATTATAGTACTTTTTTTACTATACTGGACAGCAACCATCTCAGGGTCTCATACTCATTGTCATCATTCCATACAATGCACTTTAACCTTATAACTTATTACAGCATATCGCACATCTGTAAATCTGTTTCAAATCCGTATTATACTCAAAGTTCTATTTTAATATTTTATTTATTTCTCCTTTCTATTTCATATCCTTTGTAACAGTTGCAGTCAAAAGAGTGGTTCAGGATACATTTCACTGCATGTTGTACCTGTATGACTATGCATGTGACAATTAAAGGATCTTGAATCTTGACATGTCCCCCCGCACCCCCGCACCCCCGCAGCACCTGTCGCACCCGGACCTGCCCCATCACGCAGAGTCAGCTGCCAGACAGGCTCCACAGATACCGGCACTGCAGATAAGTTGCAGGCCCACGGATGCCTGCCTTCCCACTATCGGCCCATCTAAGCACCCTCAGCCAGTGCTCTGCACAAAGCACGGATTCTTTCTCCTGGGGGGGGGCACCATCTGGGCCCAGAGCACCAGCCTACAGACAGATGCGGCTGCTTCCTTAACGCTATCGGCTTCGCTGAGAGAACCGCACTCATCACTCAGGCAGCAAAGATCTCGCCAAGCTCGCGCCCGAGGCCACCTTGGCACAGACAGCACACCTCTGCTCATCTGCGTCACTCCACCCAGAAAAATAAAGCATGTCAGCAAGGCAGGATCCGAAGCAGAATCACCATCCTGTACGGTCACGCCTGACCAGCCATACGGACAGAGTCATGAAATTAAGGCATGTTCAGGACGACGCAGGCGCATGAATGAATGAAGACAGATGTGTCATAATCTCCAAACCAAAGAAGTTGTCGGGAGGGGGGTAGGAACTCACGATAGAAAAAGGGCACGAACTCCACAGTGAGCTGAGCAGCTTTGTACTTCTGGCGACTGGTCTCTGCGGGGCTCAGCTGCTCCCTACCGACAAACACAGCAGACCGTCGGTGTCATTTCTGCACTTGGGTGACACGTACCGGGCAGGGGGGCGGTGCCTGGCCTACCCGCAGATCCGGTGCCGCCAGTTGCGGTAGGGGTCGTACAGGCTCTCGCAGAAGGCCAGGGCGTGCCGCACAAACTCCTCGGCCGGCGTCTGATCAGCCAGCTCCTTCTCTTTCGTCTTCGTCTTCAGCTGTGGGGTGACAGATAGGAACAGGTGACCCACAGAACACCGAGCAGATCACAAACCTCCAAACCTTCATAAGATCTTCTTTCTTTCTTATAAAGGTGACCTACAAGGTTTGTTTTGTCCTGGGCTTCCAAGATGCCCTCATAAGGTTGGAAAAAAGTACAAACGCATGCGTGTGCACACACACACACACACACACACACACACACACACACACACACACACACACATTGTGTCCCCATAAGGATAGGTATACCTGCTCTCCCGCACACACACACACGCACACACTCACCTGCTGTATGTACAGTGTCGTTATGGTGATGACGTGGTTAATATAAGAGCAAGTGCCAATCTCCTCCACATTGGAAAGGTTCCTGTCAAGACATCATGCCTGCAGGTTATCCTGGGGCCCCCACGCACATGAAGACAGAGTGGGTGGGGGCACGGCAATGCACACCTGCACACCACGATGAGGAACTTGACGAGCAGCAGAGACAGGTCCTGCTGCTCGGGCTCCAGCCCCACAGACACCTTCTGGACGCACTGCAGGAGCTGGTGCCGGAGAACCTGCAGGATGTTGTCTGGGAGCAGCGACATCACCGGGGGAATCTCCTCCAGCCTGCGGTGGGCAGCCGTTTATGGGCGAGGGGGGCATCATGGAGATTAGAAGGTCATCATGTGTTTTTATCTTCACGCGAGGGCCTGACAGACTCGAAGAAGCAGCCGGTCAGATGTGCAATTATGATGCAAGAGGACTAATGGAGCAGTCCAGCTAATGGGATTCCGTTTCACGCGACACTTGGTGCCCCCCTGCAAACCCCACCCACAGCTCATGTTGAGTGTTACCTAACCCGAAGCGATTGGACATTCCACTGGTCATGTGACTGCAGCCAGGCCCTGGGGACATGGCCTCACAAAGGCTGACACACTTACAGCGGCCGCATAGGACGGCACAGGCAGAGCCCCCGGCCCGGCGGCCACAGGACAGGAGGGGCAGATCGCGGCCACAGGAGTATTATAACAGCTTTTGCATACATGATGGAGCTGCTCCATTAGCCCCACCCACAAATCACTGTGGCGCCACGGAGAGCCAGACAGGTATGGATCGCATCGCCTCACCTCGTGGGTGGCTTCTCGAAATCCACATCCAGGCATTTTTCATAGGAGCTGATGAAGATTTCCAGCCACAGCTTTAAGAGGTCCGGGTCTTTCTGCAGATGGAGAAACGGAGGACTTAACCGAGAAGCTGACCAGGCAGACGAAACGAGCAGGAGGAACGGAGGACTTAACCGAGAAGCTGACCAGGCAGACGAAACGAGCAGGAGGAACGGAGGACTTAACCGAGAAGCTGACCAGGCAGACGAAACGAGCAGGAGGAACGGAGGACTTAACCGAGAAGCTGACCAGGCAGACGAAACGAGCAGGAGGAACGGAGGACTTAACCGAGAAGCTGACCAGGCAGACGAAACGAGCAGGAGGAACGGAGGACTTAACCGAGAAGCTGACCAGGCAGACGAAACGAGCAGGAGGAACGGAGGACTTAACCGAGAAGCTGACCAGGCAGACGAAACGAGCAGGAGGAACGGAGGACTTAACCGAGAAGCTGACCAGGCAGACGAAACGAGCAGGAGGAACGGAGGACTTAACCGAGAAGCTGACCAGGCAGACGAAACGAGCAGGAGGAACGGAGGACTTAACCGAGAAGCTGACCAGGCAGACGAAACGAGCAGGATTCATCACCACTATTCACAATGGCAGACAGGAAGTGGACATAACCATGGAAGAGTGTAGGAGGGACATGGTGGCTTGGTGGTTAGGGACAGACTTACCACCACCATCCCTCCTGTGTGACCCTGACAAGGAAATGTGGTTAGGAGATGGGCAGACAGATGGATGGATGGATGGATGGATGGATGGATGGAATGGTGGATGGAAGTCCAAAACAAAACAAAGATGTGTTTGATATTGACAGAAAGATGAGGAAGCAAAAGGACACGACCTGACCCAACCGGTGGGGCAGGAATCACAGAGAGCCGGTTGGTTCCAGTGAAACTGGACTCCTCTCAACTGGCTCTGCCACATTCCCAGCACTGGAGCACAATCGTACGCCTCCGTCTCGCAGGCATTCCCGGCATTCCGGGAACGTGACCCATTGCCAGCATCCGAGAACTGCGACGGCTCAGAGAGCGCACAGCCAAGCAGGACTACGGCAGAATGACAGCGCTGACAAATTATTGCACGTATTAAAGGTCATAAATAAAGCAGGAAGACGAGGAACCATAGAAGCGTAACAGCCACATACAGGCAAGCAACAGGAAGTGGGAGGAATGTGGAGCGATGGACAGGATGTTCCCTTTTGGGCCTTAATAGACAGAACCACCAACAGAATCCCTGATGCAAGTCATCCAGCCTGAAAAAAGGTGGCTGGCTATGCACACTAATCTCTGGGGGGGGGTCGTGTGGAATCAACGGGAGGCCTGAATCCCAGCATGCACTCTAACAGACAAGCAGAGGCAGCCTAATGTCTGAGTCAAAGTCCTCTGCAAAGGGAAGCTCTCTCTCCTGCATTCCTGGTGACGACAATGGGAGGAGGCACATGTGACTGAGTGCGCGTGTGTGTGTGTGTGTGTGTGTGTGTGTGTGTATGAAATGACCTTTTCAATGCGTTAGCCTGCATCTGACAAAACACTCATTCGGTCACAGGCTGGTTACTGGGGAAACACCTTCTGCTACTGAAGCGATGTTTGTTTTGGATCGAGCTGACCCAACACGAGGTAACAGGCCGACACCGAACCAAGATGCAACTGGCAAGAGGTGAAGTTAAAGCACTCCCTGCCAAAGACTTCAGCCTGAAAGTCGACAACTGCTCAGAACATCTACATGCCAATTTAAATGTCACAATTCCCAATGTGAAGGCAGCAAACACATGCACACATTTAAGAACATGTCCTGTATTACTTACTGCCTTCAGAAGATCAGGGTCTAGGTTCATCTTAAAGGTGGCTGAAGCACATCGTCAGACAGCGGACTGGTGAGGGTCCACCCTGCAGCACCCGCACAGTGTAAAACGAGCACTTAATGCCCCGCATGTGATCCTTTTGTCAAGCCTGCTCTTCCTACAGCCAGCAGTCCCGCTCACATGACATTTTAACATAGCCTCTTGGCCCGAATCACGTGATCTGGGCCTCCCTGTGAGAGCTCCAGGACCTCGGCGACCCCAGGTCTCCTACCAAGATTTCATCTCCAGTGGCAGCAGGATGTGGGAGTCCCTCTCCCCCTCTTAAGCATCACTATGTCTGACACATACAGTAGGTCCCCAGGCACCTGGCTACAGCTCCGGGACGGTCTGCTTAAAGCAGGACGCTTCTACTCAAAGCCGTAACTTTAAACAGCCACCAGCAACTTGGGCAACTTGGCTTTCGCGGTTCCCAGACCTGTCATTACGGGGAACGTGGGATCTGGCGAATTCCACGCCGCTCCTTCTGTCGCGAGGCTAGCAGCTGTGTCGAGGAGTGGTTCTGTGGCAGCGTTCTCGCCCAGGGGCCAGTGTCGAGCCAGACAGTGGAGCATTCAGGAAGGCCGGCCCACTCTGCGTGCAGCAGGCCCATGAGGGCTATGATGAGCCAAGCGGTGGGTGAATGGCCACACAGCAGAGCCAAGAAACTGCGAAAAGTGTCACGGATAACAGGTCGAAGGAAGCCTGACGCGCACCAGCATACGCATTTCTGGGTAGCTGAGCCAACACTGCACGGGAGATTCACTCCACGATATATACTCTACATTTACAGATAACACAGGCTTTAGCAAAGGTCCAGAAAATAAGAGGAAGGACAAGACACAACCTGCATCTGGATCCTAGATGGATATGTTTGGATCCTACGCAGGAGCGAGGCATCACACATGAGGTCAGAGCAGTGGGAGGGGCTGGGGCCCTCAGTCCTACAAAAATGGTTAGCTGTAACGGGGGATGGGGAGGAAGGCAGAGCCTGACAAGTGCCTGATGTCACCATGCTGCTGGTATTTATAGCGCAGAGGAGGGCAGCTCCAGCAGGGGGAGACGCCTGTGGCGGATCTGCCATGCAGTTTGGCCATTTTGGCAGAGCTGACAGGGGGTGTGGGGAGGACATCTCAAAATGTCACTGAGGCCGACTGAACAGGTCAGAGTCCACCACTTCAGACGGCCAGCGAAAACAGAGGGACCTTCTTGCTATTTTATTGCAAAGCGAGCTCTTCCATATGCCCCCCCCCCCCAAAAAAAAAAGTCTGGCCCCCTCGGAAGCAGATTAAACTGTAACTAAGAAACAAGGATAATCTGCTTGGATAAATATGTGAAACTACTGCAGTTTCTTTGCTCCTAGTGCTTCCCATCTCCCTCCACTGCTCACAAAAATCCTGATAATCCTTCAGACTCATTCCTCCGGCTTCCTTTTCGAGACAGTTCCCTAAAAGAAGATCGAAAGCCGTATCACGCTCCCCACTGGCACACGATTAAGACACTGCTTGGCAGAAAGTTTTTCTGTATTAGGCTCGGTCTAGTTTGTGGAATTTGATAATGAACACACGTCACACTAACAAACAATAGCGAGAGCTTAAACACACACAGAGCCTCCGGATCAGCAGCATGACAAACCTCCAGCCACGGACAGAGCAGACTGACTAAGAACGAACCCTTGACCTCGAAGGGCTGGTGCCCCCACCAGCCTCTGCTAGCCCTCTCTTACAGGACAGCACAGCTAACTGACTTAAAAGAGAAGCCTTGACAGGAATCTGCAGTCAACTCGGGTAAATGGGGGCCTATGATTCTGAGCTGAGAGAAGCAGGCGCCAGCAGCTGCTCCCCGAGGTTAATAATTACAGCAGCACTGACAGAAGGGGGACCTGCAATGGGGGAGCAGGCTGGCCTCCCACGACCCACCGCGCCGCTGCCACACATAGTCCCGCTGCCGGCATGGCAACCGGCCTGGGGCCGCAGGGAGGGGTGAGCCTGGGCGAATCCAGGCATGGGGCAGCTGGAAGCAGCACGTCGAGAGCAGGACAGTGCTTGGCAGCTGAGGGGACCGGAGCAGCCGCTCAAAGGACTCCTTGTGCAAGACGGGAGGGGCCGAGCCCAGGAAGGGCAAAGCCTGGTGAAAAAATGCCTTCAGTGATTCCTAGAAGCATTTCAGTGGCTTGCAGGGTAAAAATGGAGAGGGGGGTGGAAAGAGAACCGGCAGAAAAGACACCAAGCCCAGGAAGATCAATTATTTATTATGACAAAAGTACCCTAAACCAATAATAAAATGCAGATAAATTACCCTTGAATGATCGTTATTCATCCCTGATGATCTGATATTCCCTTTGTAGATACATTGCCTGCATCATCCTAATGGCACAGCGCCCTGATAAGAATGACAGTCAAATTCCAAACCCAACAGCCAAAGTGCCCGACCGGTTCTGGAAGTTGTGGTGGCCGCAACTGATCCCTGCGTCGCGTGGACGTTACGCCCTAAAGCTTCTCAAAGAGGGATGGAATACAGTGATCTGTGAAACTCCCCAGGACGGACAAAAGGCACCCTGTGGGTTTAGCCAGGAAAAATGTGGGAAGAGCCTTGACAGGAGAGTCATCTCGAAGCCCACTGAAGACCTGACAACTCGATTTCTGGGAGACTGATGACTTCAACAGGGCAAATAAGCAGTTCAGCAAAGTACTCAGCAGACACCAAGGCTAAAGCCAAACATGGAAGCCTTGTGGGACTTCGGAGGAACCTCCCCAGCAGCAAATCCTGGGTCAAAAAGCTTAAGCTGATATTTTCCACAAGTTCCAAAATATAGCAAAGTGCATTTTACTCAAAGAGCCCAAGCACAGGCAACGCAACCCTCTGCGCTTCAGAGCGGTCTAGCAATACACAAACACAAGAAGTATGTCAAAACGTTCAGTTAAACTCAAGGGATGAACCGAGCAGGGACTGTGTGCATGCTGGAAGCTTCAGATTGCTGGACAGGCTACGTCGCTCACATAAGATCACGGGCCCCACTCTGCAAGGCACCACATGGGTCCCAGTCAGGCATAAAGATACCAGAAAGTGTAGAAACTTGTAACCACTGTGCCAAAAATCGCTACATTGTTCTCCCCACAATAATATAGCTTCATATATAAAACTGCACAACTAGTAAGCATTATTTAACAATGATATACAATAACAGGACACAATAGATAGACTCAGACTTAAAAATGAAAAAGGAAATGAAACGTTTTACCACAGAAAAACGGTTTAGCGGCGCACAATGAAGCGCAACATTTTACTGAATCTGTGCGTGCGCGCGCAATACAGACTAAGCAGATTCCTCGGGTTGCAGAAAGTTGGCAAACCTTGCAGTAGCCCACAGCCGAAATAATTACGTCCGCCCGAGGCACTACATCCCAGTTTGTTAGGCAGTGGGAAGGAGAGACTGCCCTCCTCTAAATGCTGAAGCACTTCAAAGAAATCCATTACTGTGTAAATTTATTGCTTAAAATCATTTTATCCAACGACCTTTGGAAACGTGAAAGAGCGTAGTGTGAAGAAACGGTGGAGACGATAACAACTACAAAACATAACTCCTGGTGTAGCGTTTTTAAAAACAAAACAAAGTATTTTTTATGCCCTTCTGAATTCATGCTCATTGCCCTAAGCCGAAGCCCAGGACGGTTCGAAACCAAGGCGGACGCTTCAAATCACCGCCACCCTCGGGTCCACAACCCCAGCTCCGTCCTGTAAATACCGCCAGGTCCTGGTACGCGTATCACACATACATACGTCTCGTTGTTTTTAGTGGTTTCTAAATGACCAAAACACTGATACTGTCAATAAAAATAGAGCGGATATTGTGATTTTAATCCTTCCCAAAGCAGTGCAACAAACTCGGATCGACGTCGGAAAGGGCCGGCGGGTGATCTACCTTGCTGCAGTAGAGCATCCACACCTCGTACAGTCTCTCGTTGGAGGCCATCCCGGCCCGATCGTCAGCGCCGGCCGCTTCGGGAAGCTGCAGCAGAGAGCCCTCTGTCTCGGCGGTCCCTCCTCATGGCCCGCAGGTCGGCCACCGACTAGAAGACGTGGTGGGCCGCTTTTAAAATGGATTTTTGTTTTGACTTAAGAAGAACAAAAGCTGTTATTCCTTTTTGGTGAGGGGAGCCAGTCCTGTGTTGAACGGCGTTAAGTTCTCCGCCGTTAATTATTTATCCCCGGGTGACAGGCCGGCAGGGCGGCTTGTGTTATGCCGGGTGCCCCGCACTCAGCTCGGCTTCGGTTTCAGCGCATCACTCCGTCACGCCGCTCGTCCGCGTCCTGCGGCCGGTCCAGCTGAAGCGACACTCCGTCTGTTTAACGGCTGCAAAGTGAAAAGAAAAGGGAGGAAAACACACACACAACTGTCAAAGGTGAAACTGAGACGGAGAACAGCTGGGCAGAGGGCTCTGTGAAAGTGACGATTTGTTAGTCAAATTCCCAGGGAGACTGTAACACGATCGCAAGCCCCAGGAACACTTGACAGGGCATCAACTACAGTTAATTATCAAGCAAAATCCAGCAGATGTTATGGCGCGGCTTAAAAAAGCCAGATTTCCACCCCGTGCGTGGGAGATTTATTAGGTTCGCTGGCGTTGATTTAACAGCCTCGGGGAAGGTAGCGCAGGCGAGTCCCTGGGGCGCAGGGTAACCGGACAGACACCGCGGGGCGACTACGCTGAACGAAACCGGGCAGCCTGAGACCCATTAGTACAGTTATTTGTAATTGGATCCCATGACTGACATTGCATGACAGCCCACAATACGCAGTCCAAGTAAAAACATACCTACAGATCGCTCGCCTAATAAACGTATATATTTCAATCGGCTTATAATTCGCCAACGACCGGAGCTGATGTTCACGGTACTTACAAAGGCAGAGCCAAACCGTCCTAATGGGAACCATACACCGACAGGCCGGCGTATAAGCTGGCTCTGCTGCTCTTATGATGGCTAGCCACTGGCCAGGTAGTTAGTGGAAGTCCTGGGCTGCTAAATCACCACAGGTTGGTGCTGGTTAAGTAGCCACCTACCTGTGTCGACAAGTCGGCAGCGTTTCACCAGAAAGATCAGCGGGAGGCGAAGCAGAAAACTTCAACCAGACGTAATGGCCAGTTCGTCTCCGTCCTTGCAAGGGGGGAAATCTCGTCGCGTCGCCGCACTTTCCCTCACGGAAACAAACATTCACAAGTCGCCTTGACAGACAGCGAGGACGTCGGAGAGGCCAGGGTGATGTCGCGTCCGTCGCAGCCCTCCGAAAGCCAGCGGCCACCGCTGACGGCTTGTTGACTAATCGGCGCGTCTGCTTTACGACAGTCTACCCCTCCTTTACGGCGACGATGTGGAGCTCGGCGGTCAGCGGGTCGTTAAGGGTGGGTCACTGTTGCTAGGGCGCCGAACTTCGGTTCGGTAAGGGCTGGACATCGATTAAAATGAGGTACATATCTGTCCGAGGTCCAAAACACGGCGTAATCAGTAGTCCGAGACGCGCCTAGCTTCTCCGATTCGCGTATTTAAGTATGTCTCTTACTTGCTTTACACAAATTATACCGTGGGCTATAATAAAACGTGACTTGCTGAGTTAAAACGACTGAATAACTAGAATATGGAAATGAAAAGTCATTACATTACTTGTGAAACTATTCGAATTACAGATAACTTGCAAGATTTGAAAAACTGTTTGGCAATTTTGTGCGAAATAGCATATACTTTGTTCTGCTGAATGTTCCCGTGTCGTTAATATCCTCAAGATATTGTGTAAACACTAAAGAATTAATGTACTGAAAATTGTGCGGTTTCATAGCCAATGGGGGGGAAATTACGTTTAGGGGAGACCTGGACAGTGTTAGTTTTGTCTTACCTGCAGGACAGTATATTGGGAGAGGTCGCCATCTGCTGTCGATATAGTGCTATTACTGAACATCACGTGTAAAATTTCCAGGGCAATAATTCGCACTGCGTTGAGTTAGCTACACGTCTAAGTCTCCGCCATATTGTTAGTAAAATATTATTTATTTTCATTAGGATAAAGTCATACTAGCAATCCTAGATGTTTCTGAACAGACTGTATTCATTGATGAGACTTGTAAGCACTAATGTAAGTCGCCCTGGCTTAGGGCGTCTACCAAATGCAGTAAATGTAAATGAACAACATGAAAAACGTGACATTAGCAAAGTCCTGGTTTGAAACTGATTTTTCAATGATTTTGTTTTAAATGATGCCGAAAGAAAGCAACAATAATATGTAATAATTAAATATAGCAGGTGGGTATGAAATGGTTGAAGGAGAATCCATCAGAAACTACATATATGGTTATTTATTTGAAAAATATTAGAATACACGAAGGGGCAAACAGTTAAAGATGTGATTTTCATTAAGGCACTTAAGCTGGACTAAGTAAACACCGGGTGTTATTTATGCTTTTAAGTATAGCTACATTTTGACTGATAACTATTTTGTAAAACATTTATATCCGTCTGTCCATCCATCCATCCATCCATCCACCCATCCATCCATCCATTTACCCCACTTGTTTTCCTACCACTTATTTTCTTAGTGTCACAGGAAACCACTTCCAGAAAATCCTAAAAATTATCTCTTTCAGAATGTTATAATTTTATTTATACTTATTAATTGTATCACCGAATATTTTTAAGCATGATACCCAGTGCCGTGATTTATCTTTGCTGTCAGTATGAGACAGCAGAAGGTCACATTGAGAAACCTGTTTGGCTGGATTTGTTTGTTTAAGGGACAGACTGCAGGTTCCTGATACAGGCCCTGACCTTCGTCTGTGACTCGCTGTCATGGACTGATTCAAAGGAGTGGCAGGCTGATGTAGGCTATTAAAATGCACACTTTTTCAAAGTGTGATCAAAGTTCAGTAGATTGTTCTACAGAGGTGATAATTAGGGTTAGACATGCTTTTGGAAATTGAGCGGACATGAATGCATGGAGCAGTTTGGAGTACAGCCCATGTAATGTAAACATCACGCTCCTGCATGGGGACTCGTGTGACACAAACTGAATACATACAGAGACAGATGGGCTGAGGAGGATCGCTTACTGATCGCCTAAGCATTGGTATGGGTGGCTCCAGCATCTCAGAAGTAGTCACCAGGGAATTTCATACGCTACAGTGTGTAGAGTTTGCAGAGAATGGTCTGATGAACAACAAATATTCAGTCAAAGGCATTTCTGTGGACAAAAAAACTCATTGTTAATGAGAGTGATTAGAGGACAATGAAGCTAACAGGAAGGGCACAGGTACAAAAATAACAGCTCAGTAGAACACAGCTTGTGTGGCCCTGAAGCAGTTCCGGAGGTAAACGTGGGCCTAGCGGGCTGTACGGAGCAGGTACGCTTATGGCTGGGAGAACCCACACTGCAGGGCAGAGACGCTTATGGCTGGGAGAACCCACACTGCAGGGCAGACACGCTTATGGCTGGGAGAACCCACACTGCAGGGCAGACACGCTTATGGCTGGGAGAACCCACACTGCAGGGCAGACACGCTTATGGCTGGGAGAACCCACACTGCAGGGCTGCCTGCTACATTACAGCACACAACCATTAGTTACAGTACTTCTACAAATAAGCTATTTAGAAACGGCACAGGGGTCAATGTTAATTTTCTCTGTGGTCCTGGACCAGTCTAAGCCTGACTCAACAGGACAGAGCAGTAAAGTCCTTTGAGTTCAGAGGCACATTCTACTCTTTGGGATGCTGTTATATTAAAGGCCATTTAGCCCTCATCTCTACGTTGTTAGACAATGACAATGGCGCTGTTTGTGAAATGTATAGCGTTGATAGGTAAATACTGGCTTCTGTGTATAAGGGCCATAAGACTTACGAAGACACTCTCCTGGGACAGAGAGTGAATGTGGAACCGTGGTTTGAGCCACACAGGGTAGGGCCACAGCCAAGTCGCGTGACAGCCATCGACAGAAAGCAGCTGCACAGGACACTTGCTGAAGATTCCTCAGGGAGTGTCGTCAGTACGGCGAAAGCTAGGATGACCACTGCTTCCACTGTCCACCTGTTTTGTCTCCAAAAAGCCGTCCTTGTCCCCTGTATCTCTTCTTTGCACATCACCATGGAATCCCTCAGCCCCACCACCTTGGCCATAAAGGTTTTCAGTATTACTATGAATTTAATCCTGCAGTACTTTTCTGGGTTATACGGTAACGTGACTTTTCTGAATTTGTCTGTTTCTCAGAATGACCACAAACCTCCTCCAACTCCCACAAACACAAACCTCACATCTATGTATTTTTGCACATCCTCTGATAGTGTGCATTTGCTCTTTCCTCCACTTAGTTCTCTCTTTCACATCTCATCAGCAAAATAGGTCACTATGGTTATTGTTATTATGGAGAACTGCCAAGTGCAACACTGGACAGTATAGAGAGAAGACATGGATTCAAAGACAAACAGGGATGGGTTAGGGGTCCGGCTCAGTGACAGAATGATAACTGGACATGGCCGGCAGCTACGGGCAGGGGGACACCTGGCGGGGTTCCTCATCATGCTTATATTTTATTATACAAAAAGGATTCACACACATATAAACAGATTAAGAATACAGTTTGAAAAAAAACACACAAGGTATTTTACAGTCAAAATGTGCTATACAGGTTTCCCTTCACAATATATAAAATGCAAGGGCAAAACAGCATCTCAGTCAACAGTACAAAGGCAGCTGTACAATAGAAACATGTGAACAATGCACAGGAATGGTGGCATGACCGTGCAGGACAGTCACAGTGCGTCACTTTGCTCTTGATGTTTTGATGTCATGAACAGGGAAAAAGAGTGACTGGAACCGCATCAATGGGGAAAATAAAATACTTCTATGAACAAAAATGTTAAAGGAAAAGACAGCTGTAATGTATAACTTTAAGATTATTAAGTTGACTTGGTAGGTTGACAATATAAAAATAATCTGTAAAATATAGATAGGCAAATGACAGACTTTTCGTATATCATTTAAACATGTATAGCAGTCATACATCTGATGTTGACCGTGCTCTAGCGGAGAATTTCTGCTGGCGGGACGTCAAGATGCCGTCATGAGGGAATGTGGGCTTCTTCTGTCCCAAGGTACAGCAACACTGATGAAGAATCAAGAACACTGAAATATTCCTCATATGGAGGTACATGACATGCTGTGGTAATGTATGTTCCCCACAATACTGTTCAGAACCAAAGAAGAAAAAAAAAATTTGTATATATATATATATATATATATATATATATATATAGATAGACACACACACACACACACACACAGACATTGTCAAATCACATTAACGATTCATGTATGTGCAGTTACATAACTGACTGGAATTGCAAAAGAACGCTGAAGAATATTGCAGTCACTAGTCACTCCAAATAACTAACCCTAAGGAAGAGGGAGGACACACAACAACAACAGTATATTTAATGCAGGTAGTACCGCCCTCATTAACACGGGACGGCATGTGCTCAAAATGCGTCCCCGAAATGCGTCTAGTCTTTTAAATACACTGGGGGAAAAAAAATCAACATATTCTTAAATTTCATTTTCACAGATGGGGCAGAATGCGGGCTCTGCTGGGAACAAACCGGTTGTTTGGAGAAATTCACCATCTATGCCCTGGTAGAGAAGCACGCATAAACATGGATGAAAAAACAAAGCAAAACACAGCAAATATCCAGCAAGAGATGGGGCAGGGGGAAGCCAGGCCTAAGCCCAGGCCAGTCCGCCTGTGCTGTCACTGCAGACAAGGCCAGCCGCCCTGCATTCACATTCACCTGTAGGTTGGGGCTGATCCTTTCAGCCGAGGCTGCAGAAAACAGACTATTCACAGCTCTTCAGTGCCTCACTGGACCAGGTCTTACAAAAAAGAAATATAATAAATATCTCACCCGGGCAATGAAAAATGCAGTATACTGTTTTTTTGGAAGCAGTGTTGGTCATTAAGGGAGTGGTGGGGGTTGAAGGGAACTAAGAGAAGTCCCAAGCCCCGTCCTGAGAGTCCACCCGGGGGGCTAGGCCGTGGCAGGGCGGGAACAGGGGATGTGATGTGGGTGTGTCTGGGGGGCTGCAGAAGGGTATGGCCGGGTACATGAGGCTGAGGAAGGAGTCCCGGGTGTGTCGCCTCACCTGAAAGACACGGAGGGGGCAGCAGACAGACGCAGTGTCACAAGTCAGCCTGCAGGGGGCAGCAAAGCAGCTGCTAAGTCACAGAAGAGGAGACCCACCTGTCTGAAGAAAGTGTGCGTCGACAATGCGGAGGCAGATGGTCTGTGTGACAGAGAGATACGGCATCAGACCCCCCCCCCAGCCATAAGAAAAGCCCAAGAGCGAGTGGCATGCAGCCACTAAGGACAGTCAGCTCACCGGCGCTCCGGCTGCTGCTGCAGGCACAGCTGTACCACGTTGTGGAAGGTGGCCGAGTGGTTCTTCAGCGTTGGGCTCTGCGGCCGGTCCGGCACCACGGCGCGGGTCAGACTGCCTGTGGCCACACTCTCTCCGATGCCAGAGTCCACCCCTGAGCGGGACACCTTGAGGCCGCCCATCTCTCCCAGGGGGAAGGGGGCCACGTCCAACAGGCAGCAATGCGTACCACGCAACTTCTGAAGCAGCATCTGGGTGAGGAGGGGGCACACGCCTCATTTAAACGGGGAGGGGGGGTTTAAAGGGGAATTGCACTGACTGAGACAGGGCTGTTACAGAGCAGATTAGTGACACACCGAGCCGGAGATGGACACAAACAGCCCGTCTGGACAAGGGCAGAAATGGGATTTCAGGCACTGAGGTGCGGCTTAGTACCAGAGTGGGGTGCATGTCCTGGAAGGGCACCCGCCCACTGACCAGCTCACAGGCCACGATTCCCAGGCTGTAGATGTCCGACTTTACCCCGTATCCATGGAGATCCTGGGTGGAGTGAGAGAGGACGATGACGGCAGCATGCTTACCACACAGGCATAAACATGCAGACAGACAGACATTGACACAGAAAGACACACCGACACACACACAAAAACATAGACAGACAGACACACACACACAGACATACACACCTGTCGAAGGAGCTCTGGGCTAAGCCAGGGCAGCAGGGCAGGGCTGTGTTGCGGCATGTCATACACAGCCTGCAGCCGCCGGCCGTCCCGCACCAGGCTATACGCACTGTGCAGTCCCGACAGGTAGACACGGCCCTCAGAGGACAGCAGGATGTGGCTGGCCTTCACACCTCTGCCGGGAGACAGGGAGATCTCCCTTAGTCGGCACACCTGGGCGGGAGATCTCCCTCGGTCGCCACACCCGGGCGGGAGATCTCACTCGGTCGCCACACCCGGGCGGGAGATCACACTCGGTCGCCACACCCGGGCGGGAGATCACACTCGGTCGCCACACCCGGGCGGGAGATCTCCCTCGGTCGCCACACCCGGGCGGGAGATCTCACTCGGTCGCCACACCCGGGCGGGAGATCTCACTCGGTCGCCACACCCGGGCAGGAGATCTCCCTCGGTCGCCACAACCGGGCGGGAGATCACACTCGGTCGCCACACCCGGGTGCTCCTTGTTTTTGCTCCCTCCCAGCTCCCTGCCAGATTGTCTAGGGGGTCCCCGCGGACCAGTTTGAAAAACACCGTTTTAAGGTACAACAGCTGAACTCCACCTTTATGTCTTATGTTCACTTTCTGGATCTTTCCATCCAAACGAGAACTGCACTCTCCTCTCACCTGTGCACGTATCCCATCTCATGTAGGTACTCCAGGCCCTTGAGGACGCCGTGCAGAAGGTATGCGATGAGGGACTCGCTCATGCCATCCGGGAAATACGTCCTGAGCAGGGCGTCTGCCGAGCCTGGGCGAGCCAGCCAGAAGAGACGTCAAGCTGTGGGCGGCTTCTCCACCGGCCCCTTGGGATGCACCCGAGGAAGTGTCAGGTGGCTCACCATAACTAACCAGGGGCGTGAGGACCCACAGCTGGCAGCAGAAGCCGAATACCAGGCGTGACGTCAGGAGGTTGGGGTGGCGGAACAGCCGACACAGTAGTACCTCGTTCTAGGGGGACACAAGAGCAGGCGAGCACCAGTGTAACACCAAAAAGTGTCCCCATGGAAAGGAACTTGAACTGAAAGCAGATATGTTTACTGAAGAATAGTGCCACTAGTCAGCAGCCAATACTCTAATTTATTTGATATACATGCAAGGATGACAAGGTTCTAAGCCTGCTGATCAGAGAAACATGGAGAGATATTTCCACCCCCCAAAGAGCAGCCCGCCAGTGGGACTCAGCTCACCAGCAGCTGTAGCAGCTCATCCTCGGTACAGCGATCCAGGTTGGTGCGCTTCACTGCCACCAGCCGGCCGGACGGCGTGTGTCGCGCCATGCACACCTGACTCAGGTTGTTGAAGCCCCAGCCTGTTTTCACAGAACACAGGGGGTTGGGGGGTACAGCTGAGATTCAGCAGATCCCACATGGAGGCTCAGCACAAACCCAGACATGAGACCACCCCGTAGGGAGGGAGACTTTCATTAGAAAGCTCCCCCTTTTCAAGGTTAACAAGGGAGCGGATGGGGTCAACTGACACAAACAGGAAAATGCCCAAACCAAGCTGGCAAAGGAGAAAAATACCCCCCCACACCCAAACAACATAAGCCTCACCCAAATTATGTACATTTTCAGCATTTACCCAGGTATACATATATATAATATTAGATATAATTAGCATAATCACCTGTATTTTTTAATTGCTATATTCAGATGCATTTACTAGACATTTCTTTCCAAAGAATTCTGTCTGGCATCATCATAGTGACTCTCCACTGCTCATTTAATCATTGGCTAAGTTAGTGACAAGATGACTGAGAGTAAGTCGTGCTACGCTGTTGGGTCTATGACTAAGCTCTGTCACGGGACTGCGTCAAATTTACAGCCTCAATACGTACTAAACACACCTAATGCTATGATGAGTGTGTGCCAAGCAACATGCAATATCACCTCCTCCCATCAATTCTTTCTTAGAGGAATAACATGATTTTGGCAAGACACTGACAGAGGTTAAAGGTGAGGTACATCAATAAGACCATGATTGTAGATCTCCAGCACAATACTTGGGAATCCTGCAAGGACTTTAGAGGAACTGAAGTGCACCTCTTTGTTACACGTCTGCCTGCTCCACCCTCCTTTCTGCTCTGCAGGTCCACTGAAACCAGCATGGAAAGGCTCGGAGCCCATTGGCTGAGCAGCGTGACCGTGGAAAGGCTCGGAGCCCATTGGCTGAGCAGCGTGACCGTGGAAAGGCTCGGAGCCCATTGGCTGAGCAGTGTCACCGTGGAAAGGCTTGGAGCTGATTGGCTGAGCAGTGTCACCGTGGAAAGGCTTGGAGCTGATTGGCTGAGCAGTGTGACCGTGGAAAGGCTCGGAGCTGATTGGCTGAGCAGCGTGACGTCTCTGCTGGCAACCACTAACTGAGAGGCAGCCGACATATGAAGCCACGTGCTGCAAGTCAGCAAGCAGATGCCATCCCTCAATGTCCCCAATCCCTTTAGCAGAACAAAGCCAAGTCATTTCATCGATATGGCCTCCTGGCCACCACTGGTCAATGAAAGTCACACAGTGTGCATCTACGGGGAGGGCACCATATCCGAAAGATTGCGACTGCTGCAGAAACAAAAGCGGAGGCTTGTGACAAACTCACCCAGCTCTGACAGAAGCTGGTAATGGGAAGCATCAGCGGAGAGCGAGGCGAGGTCATCACTGTCAGCTGCCCCACTCAGAGCACACGTTGACCCGTCTCTGCTCTGTACAGCATCAACAAACAAGTGCCAAGTTGAGACCAGTTCCCCCTCATGCTTGTGCAGGGGACATGGGACCCAGGGAGCCTCTGCATCTTTCAGAGGGGGGGCCCTGTCCCGGGTCACTGGGCAGTGCATTGTGGAACTGCGCTATTAGCACAACAGCGCAGAATGCTGCAGGAATAGAGGACCTCCAAATGCAGGAAGGTGTTTCAGTTAGAGCTGATGCCCAGTAAAGATAGGAGTCATAGGAGATGAAAAACAGCTGAGAAAAGTGCCCAGCAATACTAAAGGACAGCACTATCAGTATTGTCAGTGCTAGTAGTAGTACCTTGCACATGACTACAGAAGAAAGGCACAAAATGATGCAGGGGGAAATGTTATACAAACCAAGTGCTGTTGGCTGACGTCCTCATAGTGGTCCTCAATGCTGAAAGAGTGGACCTGGGTGTTGGATATGCAGGAGCAGTCCTGGGGGGAAGGGGGGGAGGGTGTTTAGTGAACAGCCCAAAGGAGCAGAGCTAGGAAGAGTGGAGAGTGCTGTGAAATGCTGGTGCTGCCCAAAGCATAGAGAGGGGAGTAGATGGAGGACTTTTGTGAACTACTGCCCCATCTGAAGGGCGGACTCCAGAAAAATTACGACATTTGTTAATAGAATTTGCACCGGGCACTGTATGAAACACTCTTTTATTCCATATATGTCTGTCGGCAAGACGACGTTCAAAAATCATATACTTGATACCGTTATTCAATGATAACAAAAAGGGGGAAACAATTCATACATTATTTAATAGCGCATCACGTCAGAAATCAATCTCACCAAGAAAGACATGGAATCGCCTGGTCCGTATCGCTCTCCGCGAGGGCATTTATCCTTCAGCTCGCCGCTCTGCAAAACGAAGGCAGGAACAACACAGATGAAGAAAATAGCGCAAATCGTGTCTCGCTAATTCACGCGTCATGTATCTTATACTTTATTCGTTTGTGACAACGACTAGATTTGCACTCTTACCTGCTCGCATTCAAAACGGTTAGGGATTTCCCAGCACGGTCTCAGCCTTCAGATTTCGGCAAACTGTGCGCTCTCTATTCCCTTTCAAGCAACGGGAAATATTTTTAAAATAAATCTGAGTGCGTCGTATAGTGTCTCAGATAAAAGATCCAAATAATTTAACAGCGCTAGGGTCATTTACTCGGATGTCGCCTTTGCCTTTTATCAAAGCAGACGATGAGAAAATGAAAAAATGGTATAAATCAATTCAAGATCCCCATTCCATCCAAACCAGATGTGTGAAATTCACTTCTCTCACAATGGTGTTTTTGTTGAAATCAGTAGTGCAGTCTTTTCATGGCTAATAATTAAACAACAGTGCATATTTCTCTCCAGAGTGCTGCATTACGCAGTTCCGCGTTAAGTTCTTCCCTGAGAATGAAGACCCCTCTCCGTCTGGCGGTGAATGGAGGGACCGAGGCGTCCCGTACTGTGGCTGCTAAACGGCGCCAGTGTCACAGTTAACAGTGATGGTGTCGCTGCTGCCCATTCAACACTGAGCGCAAAGCCCCCAAAGGGACGTGTGTGCGCGGGTCTGTGTATTACAGCTCTTTGTCGGGCTAACCAGCATGCCTATACCTGTCTTATGTGTACGTTTTAAAGAGCGTCATTCAGGTAAATAGTAAAAAAGGACTCCATAAAATGTGCTCCGGAGACTGGGAGAAAATGATCCGAGTAAGAAGAGCCGTTTTAAACCCAAAGCACATAAAAGAATAACAAAGACGCGAAAATGAGCATTGCCACAGTCAAAACAGTTTATCCATTACTAATATTCCTCACTGATATTAATTTAATACTGATCATTATTATATCCCTTTCAAGTTTTCTGTAGACTGATTGAACTTTTTGCCGTACTGCACATATCAGGTTAGTCGTTTACAAATAGTTGCGAAAAACCCCGAAAATGCCAAGAAAACAGTGCTGAACTTCAACTTAAGTGTACTTACGAACATACCATTGTTTGACTTCGCGATTATTATATCTAATTTACAGCATAACTTTCCACATTGACAGGCAAAATTGCACAGAATGAAGTCTACTTTCACTAACGCGCAAACCGTAAAATAGATCGCACACACTGTATCTCAGAGTTAAAAGTTGTAGAAATGCCAGCGCTCTGCAGCGTCTGCTGTTCCCGACCGATTTGACAATGACGAACAATATAAATGGACGCGGCGGATGGAAAACAAAGTCGCACAATGATGACGACAATGACGCCTTCATTTTGTCCCCATCTAACGGTGCCGCCTTATTCCAGTGGCCACTTTTTATCCAAAGAACGTAATACCGTGAACACATATGACAGTGTTTATCGAGTCATTCACAAACTCAGTTTAATAAGTTGCAACTTGAAGCTGCCCTGCTTTACGTCCAAGCGATTCCAAATGGAGTCCGCCGTTGATGACGAGATGAGGCCCTAATCTTCCCAAAGTGTGCCCTAAACTTCCCTCCCTGAAATCCGAGCTGTCTTTTGTCTCTGACTCCGAAGAGAGAGAATCACGTGTACTTTTGGGTCTGGACCGAATATAAAATTGTTTCTGAGAGGTATGTGCTCGATTACCGTCTGTGCGGCTGCATTTGCCGAAGTAACGGCTATGGAAACCCCAGAAATAAAGCGAAAGGCACGGCACTGAAACGCCGCAAGCGGGCTGTCCGTTAATCTAACTGTCATTGTCATTTGGATGATACATGTTCGGAAGAAGGCGATCAGATCTGAATCTATTTTTATCCTTTTTTTATCATTATGGCATTTCACTCATCCGTAATATTTCCATGCTTTCGTGTCGATGCGAGGGTGATGATTAATTGCATTACCATGAAAATCTTATACGCATCTATAGCCGGATTTTCCTCTGGTGTAACATATGAAGTTGTTAATACATGAACCACACGCATGGATCCGCATTAAACCTGTGAAATTTTAGACATAAATTATGTAAACATGTATTTGCAAGTCTAAGTAGAAACTTTTTTCCTTCCCGCAATGCAGTAAAAGAAACATAAGGAAATAGTTTTTCTTTTATTTAACTGTATGTTTTCTTTGTAGCAGTTCTCATTTGTCAAGAAATTGAAATTAAAAGTTTGTCCCCTTGTAACATTTGAAATCAGTAGTCAATGGAGGTAGATTTAAAATGGCTTTAAGCTGTACTCATGTACATTACTTAGGGCGGATCTAGTGGTACAGTAAAAGTAATATTTGTAATTCAGATGCGTCGATTTACTAGTGGGTGATGCAACTGTTTAACTGTTAAAAATCCTAGTTGAAAACCTTTTTATGTTTCTCGTGGAAATTACACTGGGTTAGATTTTGTGGACCAAACCAGATGCCACTTAAGAAAATATACAAATAGGTTGTTCAATACTGAAAAAAATGTGTGGCACTATGAGAATGTGATTTATCGGTCAATCAAGAAAAGGTGGAGTCATTTATTGATGTTGTGTTGACCATAGTCTAAAATGTAGTAATATAAATAATTTAATTTGAAGACCATTCATTTTACTTTAGACATTTTTTGCAAACTTATAGAAGTTCTCAGTGATGAGGGGCATCATCATGAAACACCTGCAGAGAGGGTATTGTTGGAATTCCTGAAGCTCAGATTGATGGTGTTTGGGGTGGCAAGGAGCAGGTGATGTGATGCTGCTGTGGTGTAATAGAGGCAAGTTCCCCTAAGTATCGGATAGGATGCATATTCGGCAGGCCCCCCTTCCTCAGCGGAGACCATCCATGCCGTGTGAGGACATCTCGACATACAGCCCAGAGGGTTTAGAATCTGCTTCTTCAGGGGCAACATAAATAGCACCCCCAAACCCACAAGTGACATTCTCCTCAACGTGGCTTAACAGTTGCGGGAAAAAACTTCCTGAAGACTAAGGGGAACAATTAATTAGTCTGAGACTTTGGCAGCTGAGAAGCATGTCTTTGGATCAGTGTTTCTCCACCCGGTCCTCAGGGACCCCAGTCAGTCCACAGTTTTGCTCCATCCCAGCTCCCAGTAAAGTCTGCTTTAGATTACAGCTCACTGATTCCCTCATGCTATGGGATTCAGTGATTCCTACTCGGGATTGGAAGTGTGTGTGTGTGTGTGGGGGGGGGGGGGGGGGGGAGGTTGGGGGGCAGATGGCTCTGTATGTTTTGGGTTATCAATTATTATTTCTTTATTGCTTTCAGAAGATGCACTCACATTCCAAGGTCAGTTTTTGAGTCACTCCATTAGCAAAGGGAAGGATTTATTTAATGGTCAGAGCCATTTAATTTCATTGTAAGGTCATGGTCAGGATAAATGGTGTCAGCCTTGTCCCTTGAGCTAGAACCTCAAGGATAATTTACTGCTGATTCGATCCATAGATCTATAATTCATTGTCTGATTGGATCGTCCACTAAGTGGTATATTGGTTCTCTGCTGGACAAGCTTGGTGTGCTGATGTATTAAGGATTCTGTTTTAATCTTCAAGATTAAATAATACTTTCACATACTCTGGAGATATTTGGAAGACTGTTTTTTTACTCTAGGTCTTTTAGATACATGGTATTTATTTATAATGGGATACAAAGTAAACAAATGTAATTTAGATAGGGCTTTTTGTTACATACCTGAAGCACAGGTATAAAACCATTTAAAGCATGTTAATGCTGATAATCGTGTACGTTTCTCCTCTCTGCATGGCAGTGTGAGAGTGATGGTGTTTTTCCTACTGTGTTTGCCAGTGACTCTGCTGTGACTCTGCTCTGCCGCTGTCTGGTTCATTCCTACCACCTGACTCACGGGGCTGGCACTGTGTTGTCCAGTTTACCCCCCCCCCTCCCCCCCCTCACACACAAGCACTTTTAAGCAGAAACACACCAGGGCATTCTTTAGACCTCTAATCTGAATGAGAAGGCATGTCTCATGCATGCTTCCGAATTTCATGTTCTACACCAGGAGCTTCTGAAATCATGGGTTAGGGAGGGGACAGTCTTAAGGTTTTAGCAGAGTCCTGCTGTGCTGTGAGTGTGGGGGATTATTGGCACTGTACGCACCCACTCACTCACTCACAAGAAGAAGGAGAGATGAAGGTCTTTTAAGTAACAACCCAGAAGCTCTGTGCTGCCAGCATTCAGCAAATGAAATGCGTTCTGAGGGCTACAACTAAACTTGCTTAAAACTACTGACTGGTAGGGTTTCAGATCCAGGATGGATGGTACTGTTATGTGTTAAGCTGGTGGTCAGTCACCAGCTTCTCATTGTCTGATTTATTTGAATGGAATGCATGAAACCTCATTCCTTCTGTCACTGTATAATGGCATCATTGTTATTTTTGACATTTATTTGCATTTACCAGTTAAAAAATAAAATTTTTAATAGCGGCAAGAGAAGGTTAGGGTTAGGAACTTTTAGGTGAACAGATACCCCGAGGAGGGGACACATCCGAGAGGCGAGAGGGGGGGCCCGGCTGAGACCCGTGTGGGTGAAACCGGGACAGGGGAGGGGGGGGGGCGGCTGAGATCCGTGTGGATGAAGCACAGAAAGCGTATTTCAGATGAATTATGATTTTATATCCTCGCCTTTGTGAGCCTTCAGAACCGTTTCTTAGAATTCTGCCCTGTTTAATCTCTCCCCCATGTAATCATACTGTTTGTTCGTTTATCTGTTGCATTCATCCAATTTTTGCATTTTATGTTAATATTATTTTTACCCATTTTTGTATTTACTGGCGCAAATCACAACAAGGCCTCAGGGTAGCGCTGACTGAGCCAATATGAACAGTTCTGCCCATCTGCTACAGGGGGCGCTATACTGGAGTGTATTTAGCAACCGGTTAAATGTTGTTTTAATGGTGTTTTAAAAGACGCTTCTGGGGATCCTTTCTACAGGTACCTGCCCCCCACCAGCTGTAACACGCCCGGAAGCTGCTCATCTTTGTAATGATACAATTATTATGATTATTATTGTTGTTATTATCAGTAGATATTTCTTTAATATCTTAATATTCTGTTTTTCAGGATTATATTTGTTTACTTTGCACTGTTTGCACCACATTTACCTGTTTGCACCACATTTACCTGTTTGCACCACATTTACCTGTTTGCACCATATGCACTGTCTTTGCCCCTCCCTGTATGTCTGTTCGTCTGCCTGTACATGCCCACTGTTGTATGCACTAGAAATTGCCTCTGGGGCCACTAACATCCCTGGTAATCTTGGTCTTGGTCAGGGCAGCTTCTCCTGGCAGAGCAGGATGTGATGTGGCAGCCCACCCTCAGCCAGAGCCCCGGCTGCACAGCAGGGCCAGGAGATGTTTGAAGTTAAACCCAAGAGTGGGGAGAAGGTGGACCCCTCCAGCGACTCAGGTGCGCGGAGAGGGGCCTTTCTCTGGGAGGGGGGCGTGGGGGCGGGTGTCTGTCTTTACTCTTTCCCGCACCCTCACTTAAGAGCTCTGGTGCCTTGCTTGTGATTTCACCTCCTGTGAAATCCCCCCATCATTGAGTTTATGTATAACCCTTCTCTCCCCCGGGGTGGGGGGGGGGATCTATGCTAATTATGTTTGCCAGAGCTCCAACGTCCACTTGCCGATTTAAATCAGGATGTCTAATTATTAAACAGCAAAGAATTCAGCCACAATTAAAGGTGGAAAAAGGTCTGTAACATTTAAACCACACTTAGACTCTACTGGTCCCTGACCCTCAAAGCCAAAAGTCAGAAAAGACAGTCAAAGCTCTTACAGGTGTCTTACGGGGGAAAGACAGGAAACTACATTTAAAAGAACTGATTTAAGTTTATTAACACATTTTTGTTACTGGTGTTTGTCAGATACTGATTGTGCTGGTTGCTCTGTGAAGGTAAATTCACGCAGACGCTGAGCTGTCCATCTCAGTGCTGCTGTGTGAGATCCTGCTCTGGCCAGCCAACACACACACACACACTGACACACACACGCACACTGACACGCGCTCAAAACGCCCTTTGTTCTGCATTCCATTCACTGGCGGCAGAGGTCAGTGTTTCAGTTGCCACTTAAGGCATCAGTTTCGGATGAAGTGATTACAGTTATTCAACCCCCCCCCCCCGCCCCACAATTCCATGTATCACTGCAGTCGCTGAAAGCCATCAGACGCCTGCTTTACATAACCACCCCGCAACACAACCTTATGCTGCCCTCTTGTGGAATGTTTCTCGACTGCGATTACATGGTCATCTTCTGCGTCCTCAGGTGATGGCGCCGAAGCCCCAGAGCCCGAGCCCGCTTGGTTTGGGTCCGAATGTGAGTCCCTGTACCCGCTTGAAAGCCGAGACATGGTGGCGCCCCCCTGTGGCGCCGAAGAGGAGGATGCCGCCATCTGCCCAGTCCTGGCAGAGCAGACGCTGCCCTACATGGGTGAGTCTGAGATGCCCACTTTCTAAGGTCAACAAAGCGACCTGTGTGTCTGGCTCAGGGGTGGGAATGTGTATGGAAAATTTTGAAGTTGGGGGGTAGGGGGTGCTGTTGAGGAACTTTCCAGTGTTTAAAAATCCCAGGGAGTGGTTATACTTGGCCAGTGAAAGGGGAGTTCTGCGCATGTTTAGAAAAAGTTGAGGGATTTGATTTGCTGGCTCGACTTGAGTGACAAGTGACTCAGCCAATTGCTGGATGGCACAGAATGACTGTATCTGCATTCAGGCTGGCTTCTCTGTTCCCTCCCAGTCTGAGCGCCTTCAGGGCAGCGTAAGGAGGAGAGTGCTGGATTGGATGACATCCATAATAAGTCCTTCCACATATTTGCAGCCAAATGGAGTTCGGCGTCACTCTGTGGCTTTATAGTGCTGCTGTGCTTTTATGTTTTATCCATTCTGTTAATTCACACTGACCACCCATGGTCAAATTATGAAGCAGTGATCAGAATTTTAGTTTCCTTAACCTTTTTTCCTGCTCTGACTGAACAAGTGTGACCGTGCGCAAAGCTGGCAGAGATGGGAAAATTTCTCTGCTTGGGTCAGGGGGGCAGATAACGCAGGAGAGAGGGAAGTATGAGAGGCTGGGGTAGGGGGAAGACGAGCATAAAGGGAGATGTGAGATGAAGGAGGACCGAGGCTAAGGGTCAGTGCTCCTGGGAAGGAAGTAGGAGTAGGAGCGGTGCAGTGGAAGGTGAGGCTGGCTTCGTAAGCGTGCACGGCGGCTCAGTTCCCGCCTTCCTCTGCAGGCAGACGTCCATGTTTGTATTTATAGAGCGGATGTGAGCTGCAGCTGTAGAAGAGGCTTGGCGGAGCGGACATTCGGGGGCGGGCCAGAGTGTTTGGGGCGGACATTACCTCACCTGGCTCAGCCATGTGTCACCCGTTACATTCGCAGAAAAACGCCACCGTGGTGTCTGAATGCAGGTGGAAAATGCAAACTCACAGTCCGCCATCCCTCACTGCACTAGTGCATTATGGGAGCAGAACCAGTATATAACTCGGCCTGCTTTAGAAGCCAGAGGATTAGGCTTGATTTGACTGGAGTGGAAAATTTTTGGTCTAAGTTATGGGGGTGGGGGATGTGGCTTGGAGGACACTTGGGCCAATTCCCAAACCCCCCGTCCCCCCAGAAATTAAGACAGCAGATCTATAAATATCCATCTGTTGCAACCTTGGTGTGGATGACATGAGACTCTAATGTTTTTTACCGTTTATATTAAACACTGCCTCATATGTTTTTGTATTAACCATAACGTTTTAAAATATAAATATATTAAAAACTGGTATTGCACCAAAGGGCAAAGTTCCAGGTACTGACACCTCCTCACTGCCAGCTCCCCTCTGGCTGTACACCTCCTCACTGCCAGCGCC